TGCAACAGGAAGGGAAGGGATCTGAGAAGGCGGTGTTTATAAGCTTAGAATAGGGTGATGCATCAGCAAGTGTTTCTGTTACTGCAATGAATACAAGTGCAACTAGCATTGTACTACTTGCGACCTAACTTGTCAGAAAATACTATTGTTCTAAAGGGGTTGTCCATGTTATTCGTTGAAGGGAAGAGAGCTCTAGTGAGTCGTGTTGGTTCACGCTCAGTAAGGCGATTGTTGCAGTCTCACAGCTAGTCTAATTAAAGTGCAAATGGAAGAGAAATCTATCTTGATTTAACTAGGGGAAAGTGTAATCCAAATGCATTAGGAAGGAGCTACTATTGCTGCCATTTCTAGGCGAATGTTTTTCTGGGTTGTTGATAATTTTGAAAATATTTTTTGTGCATAAATGTTGAATCATCACTTGAATGACTATGTTTAGTGTCTATTCAATTTTTATAAGCAATTTATTTCCCACTGTTCCCAAATCTTTAACTCTAGGTCTGCAGCCCTTTGAAGGTGTTCTATATCTATTAAGTTTTCCGGAATTGATCTATAACCCAAAGCATTTTATGATTATTCGCTAAGTAAAATGCTGCCGGTAGTCAGCGTTGCTGCTTTCCAACCCTGACGTCTATTGCAACGCAGAAACCATTTTCTTTTTGCAAGAAAACATTTAGACATAAAGTGTAGGTGATGCATCATGGACTCATGTGCACTGATGGACTAATAATATCTGGGCGATCCATTCAGCTAGCAGAAATATGCGCCTTCTTTGCGGGTTATTGTGAGTACCTAGGACACATTGTCTTCTACAGACAATGCTTGCAGATAGGAAAATTCAAAGAAGCGTCTAATGCATAAATTATGGTGTATTTTTGTGCTGCAGCCTTTTTTATCAAAACGAAAATGCTATGTTGACATTTCAAATGTGCCTTTCTTGATTACTCCTCCCAGAATGCTCTAGTTCAATGCTAACAGGTAAAAGCAAGAATTTAGACGCATTCCAAAATGCTTTTGATGAACTGGGCAGAATAGAAATGGAAATTCCTTTCCTGGTGACTAATATATAAGAGAAAGTATCATTAGTATTATAGTAGTTTATAAAATATTGGACTTTAAATCGGATTACCAGCGGTACACGGAAATGATGTTGCTCATGGAGATGATGCTCATTTCTGTTAAGTGAAGTTGTGAGAAACCTCTGCGGTTAACATTTCATAGGAGTTTTATAGGTCAATCAAGTACTTTGATTAAAGTCCCACAGAATTAGATTTGCACTAGCACAAACTGAGCCGGCTACATGTTTTGACGATAGCTTAGGGACTGCATGAATTTTGCTTGTTTGGTGGAGAGATTCCTTTAACGTTGCCATGAATAGTCGAATTCAGTTAAAGCCTGCGAGATCTGGACTCATTTCAGGTGACTACGTTGGAAGTGGCATTGAGGCGCAAGGCTTCGTAACAAGCTGCATTGCCTAACATTAGAGATTGTCGGGTTTGGTCATGTGGCGATCTACACGCGAACATTCAATTCTGGCATGCGTGCACGTCAAATTAATCGATTTTTTCGATTTATGCACAATCGTCACGCAGCGAAGCCAACGAATGAATTTGCAGGTCATCCACTCCTCGGAAAAATGTGCGCTGCACAAAGAACCTCCACTACTGTGCAGATATTTAGCTGCGCTCAACTTGTGACTAATACAGCCACAGAAAACGTGTGACCTTGGTATGGACCGTGGGGGAGAGCAACCCTCAAAGAACTCGTGATCAATATCCGCCAAAGCGTTCTCTAATCCAGTCTAATTCTGAAGTTTTGATCGCCTTTTTGCCCTCAAAGTGCTATGACGCATCAATCACCAAATCGTCCTCGCTTTAACGGAATATTGACGGTCACTAAGCTGGAGATTGACGGGAGTCGTAAAACCTGTCCACATTTTGTCATTCGGTTGCACATGAAATTCTCAGAAAACGTACGGCTCTAGGGCATAAGAATTGCAACGTTCATCACGATGTGCTGTTGGAGGGCATGACTTTGAGATATCATGACAGTCAGTGCAGACTGGATGAATTTTTATCCAGCCTTCCAAGTTATTATGAGGAGTCAAGATTTGATTTACGAAAATCATCTCACCGGATTGTTGTGGCGCAGCCTGACAGTGCAAAGAAATCTACAGAAAGGCCAGTGAATTCACTCAAGTTCAAACTAATGCTATCAGCCCTTTGCAACGAATTTCAGACTCTCCACTGTCTTGTGCAGCGCGTGTACGACTGCCTATACGAATTAAAACACTTCTATTTCTCTCACTGGAATTCATTTTTGAGTTGATTGTTTTACGATTTGCATGCTTGGTTGCGGTTGACAAC